ATATATATATATATATATATATATATATATATATATATATATATATATATATATTAAGCAAATCAACGTGATTTAACATCTCCCGGTCATACCCAGCTCAAAATCTGGTGTGTCTCCAAAACTGTCTGTGATGCTTTGGATCTCTGTAGAGTCAAACAGGATTTCCCTCAGAGCAGTGAGAGATGAACGCACTTCCTGTAGCATCTCCGTGTAGGTTATTTCAGGAGTTGGTTCACTTGTAAGTGTTTGCTCTATAAACTCCCTTACAGCCTCTGCAAAAGCCCCACTCTTTCGTTCTGCCATCTCCTGAACACGATTACTCAGTCTCCTCTGTGGCGACATCAGTCCACCTATAGCCTGTCCCACTGCAGAGAGGCGGTTCTTCATCTTATCTGCCAACTGGAAGCGGTGTGAAGGCAAGGAAGGGGAGGGGCTCAACGCTGGTTCTGACTCCTCCTCTATACTGCTGACTGATAACGAGTCCAGCTCTAAGCAGGGTGGTTGAAGCTGAGAGGAAGGAAGTGGTGAGTTCAGCCATATCTTGTCTTCTATCCAAGACACACGGTGTGGTGACTGAGGAAGAGGGCTTTGAATAGAGTCTGTGCTTGCTCTTTTTAAGGGGTCTTCCTTGCTGGTACCACTTGCCCTACGAAGCACAACTCCACCTGGGGTTGTAGATGGAGTCACAGGAGTCTTCTCAAATGATCCTTTAAGACAAAAGAAAATTAAATTCAGAGCTTAATTAACAACACTTTTCATCAGATGTAATGTTGCAGTATAGTAGCGTTATTGATAATTAAAACTATTAAAAGATCCTTCATCAAACAAAGCTAAATGAAAATAATATGAAAACTTTTTACAAAAGGGTTAACAATAAGATTCCAATTGTTAAAATTTGTCAACATGAACAATGAAAAAATAATAACTATTTAGCAATTTTAGTGTTTATGTAATGTTTACTAAAAGATTAACACTTTATATGCCGAGGTATGCATTGTATGTGTACTATATCAAATAATTTCAATTTTGCACTTTCATTAACACA